TAATCAGTACTATTTACTCGTGACAGGTTTCTCTAAGCTAAGTTTCTTTGAACAAATCATGTAAACATCTTTTAACAGACGAACAGTATTGAAAGGGAGGAATCCATGAAAGAAAGAGGCTGAATGTAGAGGCAAGGTACTAAAAATCTGAAAATATTTCAAATTATAAACTTAATACACAAATGAGAGTAATTGGGTAAATATCTCATCAATCAATCAATCAGGAAATCAATCCTATTTAGTAATTGATCAGGTAATTTTTTATACTAGATTCCCTAAAGAAGGAGTACTCTGTCTTGTGGGTTTCTAGCACCTTTATCTCTGAAAGGAAGCAGGGAAAGTGGCTAAAGCAAGATATTAGAGAGAAGAAAAAGACATGCTCTTCAATTGGAATTCAAAAAGCAAGATTTCAGGTTTTCTGGAAATCTATTTTATTACAACAGCAAAAACAGGCTGCCCTCTAAGATCAACCTAAGCTAGAAGACCTCCATGCCCCAAATCAGGTACAACTGCTCATGTCTGTTCTCTGTTCCAGCCACAACCCAACTCCAGCTTCTCATTCTTGGTACTTGTTCCCTGCCTCCTGTTGTATAGCTGTGAATCTGATGCCTTCTTGACTTTGCTTTTGGCATCCTACATCCAGATCTGACAACAGGTCCTTCCTTGGTCCTGCACCTGTGCCTATGGGTTTGGCCCAAATTTTAAGCTTGGTTCCTGTAATTCCTCAGTTCTCGGTGAGCTGTGTTCCAAAAAGACAACAATATTCTACCACAAGTAAGTCTTGGGCTCTGAAGACAGGCTTTCATTCTTCCAAACTGCAAAGGCTATTCTTGACTGTAGCAGTGAGCCTTGGGGCCTGGAATATGGCCTTCCTGCTTTCCCAAAGCCTCTGCCTTGACTGGAGAATTAAATGACAAAAGTTAACTAACCCTGACTCTAACAGAGGTACATGCCTAGGGGAGGGGGCCGAGTTCTTATTGGAAATATCTGCAAGAAGCTCTCTCATTCCAGCCCAAAACATGGAGGAGGCAGAAGGGGTTTGCATAAGTCTGTCTTTTAGACATGCCTGGTTTCCTGGGCTTGTATGTGATCATTTATTCCTGGTTTTCTTCCTACTTCCTTGGATATCCCTGCCTAATCTCCTTTGTACCTACACCCTTCAACCAGCTGGTCTCAGGCCTTTTTCATTTATCACTATCAACTCTCTTTAGGAAGTCTCCACTCCACAGCTTCAATATGCTGAAGACTTACATATCAAATGTGGATAAAACTTCCAATTTAGATGTCCTCTTGAGCTGTAGGCCCACATATACCACTATTTGATCTCTCCTTGGATAACTGAAAAACTCCTCAAATTCAATATATTCAAAAGTGAACTTCCATTTCTCCCCAAGCCTGGGTATCTGTTAGCATTACCTCTCAGTAAATGACACCAGCAACCATCCAGTTTCTTAGCCAGGCTCCTACGGCCCATCTGGGCATCTCCATCTCCCTCACTTTCCATACTTAGTCTATTTTTTTAAGTTTTACTTATTTATTTTTGAGGGAAAGAGAGCATGAGTGGATGAGGGGCAGAGAGAGAGAGGGAGACAGAATTTGAAGCCAGCTCCAGGCTCTCAACTGACAGCAGAAAGCCCGATGTGGGACTTAAATCCATGAACCATGACCTGAGCCAAAGTTGGACGCTGAACCGACTGAGCCACTCCAGTGCCCCCTTAGTACTTAATCTATTACCAAGTCCTTCATAACTTTCAAAATGACTTTCTTCCATCTTTACTACTACCACTGAAGTCCAGAGTAAAAATAATAAAAGCTAACAATTACCAAAAGTTTATTATATACAAGGCAGGCACTCTTCTATAACTCTATATAAATGATCTCTCCTAATCACCCTATGTATTAGCTTCCTAATACTGATGTAACAAGTCACCAAATAGCTTAAAACAAAAGAAATCATTTCTTTCATAGTTTCAAAGACTAGAAGTCTGAAATCAAGGTGTTAGCAGAGTTGTGTTCCCTCCAAAAGCTCTGGGGGAAGATTCTTCCTGCCTCTTCCAGCTTCTGGTGGCTCCAGGTGTTCCTTGACTATGGCAGCATGGCTCCAATCTCTGTGTCACCTTCACGTGGCTATCTCCTCTGTGTGTCTTGTCCTCCTTTTCAAATCTCCTTCTGCCTTTTTCGTACAAGGCCCCTTGTCATTGGATTTAAAGCCCACCCAGATAATCCAAGATGATCACCTCATCTCAAGGTCCTTGACTTAAATATATCTGCCAAGACTCTTTTCTAAAATAAAGTAACAATCACAGGCCCAGGAATTATGAAGTGGACATTTGGGGCCACCACTCAACCCACTACACCCTAAAAAGTAAGTAGAGTTATTAGTCCCATTGAATAAATGAGACAATTGAAACTTAGAGAGTTTAAGGTCTTTGTCCAAGGTTACACAGTTAATATAAACATGAGATTCATATTTATCTGGTTTCTGGTTTCCATACTTTCAGAAAAACAATTTCAATATTTTTCTGAAAGGAGTAACAGTTTTAAGAAATTTGTCTCTTAGATACCAAGTACTGCTTCTTCAATCCATTCATTACTAGACTGTACCACTACTGTTGTCTTCTAAAATTAAAGATCAGATCCAGTGCCTGGCATGATGTATGTCACATAGACGGTGCTTAATAAACAGTTGTGAATAAATCGATGTGATCCTGTCACCAGCCTCATCAAAAATCCTTAAAAATCTCACACTACTTAAAATATGAATTTCACTCTCTTCAACAAAGCATAAGACCCTCCAACCCTTCATAAAATTAAAAAAATAATCATTTGGAATGAGGATGGTCTTTCTAAGTATATCCAGAAGTCGTGCAAAAAGAAAGTGATAAATTTGGTCACATACGTATCCAAACATTCAGCATGGAAAAGTTTCATAAGTCAGGTTAAAAAATAATGAGCTGGAAAAATATTCAGAACACATATTACACAAACGTGCCTCATTTCCAAAGGAAGGAGGCACCTTCATTTATTATAGGAATGTAAACTGATGAAGCTTCTTTGAAGGGAAGTTTAGAAAAAAAAATGCAGTTCATCTCTTCTCTGACCCAGCATTTCCACCTCCAGAAATTTATTGTGTAGATCATCTCTCACTTTGGCATAAAGCTATTCACTGCTACACCCTTTGCAATAAAACCTGATTAGAAATAGCCTAAATGCCCACCAACAGGAGATGGTTAAATCCATTACGTACCATTATGGTACAACTATAAAATAGGACACCATGAGGCCCTTTTAAAACGAGGCATGTTTGTATGCATGAGTGTGGAAGAAGTTAACTCCAGATGCAGAACACTACCTGTAACGTGCCACAATTGTGTAAACAACATAAAGAACATATAGGCATATGCACTTATATGCTATACACACATATGAATATTCTTGGAGGGATAAACCCAAAACTTGTAACTGCATTTGCCTTTGAGGAAAAAATTGCAGGACTGAGTACCAGGGTGGAGGGAAGATTTATTTTTCATTGTAAACTCTATTATATTGCTTGAATTTATTTTTCTATGTGTTTGCATTGTGTGTGTGTGTGTGTGAGAGAGAGAGAGTGAGAGAGAGAGAGCGAGAGAGAGAGAGCGAGAGAGTGAGAGAGTGAGAAACGGAGACAGAGTGAAAATTTGTAAGCTAGTTTTCACCTAATTTTCCAACCTGATTTACCTGATTTCATACTTGCACCTGACAATTCACTGCTTCCCAAACATACTGAGTATGTTCACATTCAGAGTATGCATGTCTAATATTTGATATCATCCTCAACTCTCACACTTTGTCTGTAGAAATCCTGCTCCTCAAAAGCTCTCTGTGCAACCTCCCTTATCTTCAGCGTAGGAACCAACCACTCTGACCTCTGCACTCAGAAAACCCCTGTTCATCCTGCTTTGAACTATAGTTATGTTTACAAGTTGGCCACCTTCATTAAATTAGCTAAAGGGGAGTGTTAGCCTCTGTGCTCCCCAAAGTACCCAGAACACAGCCCTGTCGAATATATATAATTTTAACCAAAAATTATTAAGCAGAAGAGTTATCTAGGAAAACCTAAGTTCCCCATGATGACCCAATTTTAAGGGCAACAGAGAAAAATATCTAGCCCAAATGTAAGAACTCTACTTAACATGACCATCTAAATCAGGGAATGAGCAATCCTGAAAGCTGAACATAAACCCAATATCGTTTGTCAGATAAAATTATTACAAGAGTGATATGTGAAATGAAATAGGAACCTACACTTGAAATATATCAGAGGTATGAGAAAAATGAAAGATGATTTCTGCTATAATAGAGAAAAGAAAGTTCTTGGACATTTTTTGTTTGTTATTTTAGCCAAACACAAGAAGTCTCATCATAAAATAGGCACACACTTATTTTTATTGCAAAGCAGGCTACTTCTCAGACTGGAACTAGCAGCGACCTTCACCTTTGCTTCCTCCTCACCCCCGACTCAAGGTCCACAGCAATGCAATTTGCTCGACTGCTTAATAACCAGTCTTTTGTAAGCCAAGTTTCCCAAATCATAAGTTTACTATAATTTGGTTCTTTCTTCCTTTTTTTCATTCTTTCTTTCTCTTTCTCTTTCTCTCTTTCTTCCTCTTTCTCTTTCTTCCTTCCATCCTTCCATTCTTCCTTCCTTCCTTTCTCTTACTGTTTACTTTTTGCTATCATTTAAACCCATATCCTGAATGATATGAGAGTGAGCGTAGAGGGTCACTTTACTACACATATTTAACTTTTATATATCCTAAAGCACTTCATACTAATTGATTATATATTACCTACTATAAACAATAAAACTCATTTTTTCCCTACTTTTAGAATTTCTATTCTGCTTTAGTCTCTCTAAATACATAGAGGTTTGCCCATTTCAGTTGGGTTTATAACAGTAAAATAAATGCAACAAAATCAAAATTAAAGGTGGCAATGATTAAAAGTTTACTTCAACTTACTGTTAATGCTGTTTCATACTCTTCAGCAGCCAGGTGTGCTAAGCCCAAGTAATAGGAAGCTTCCCCTTCCATCTTTTTGTCATTTCCTAAAGTGGAAAATGTAGAAAAATTGCCATGGAATTAAAAACACTGATTACAACAAACAAAATCTTTGCTTTTTAAGACAGTAGAAAGTTGTAGCAAAGTGCACAGATTTGTGAAGAATCCTTAAAGCCTATGTGCTGATTTTAAAAGTTTGATGTTAAGGGTGCCTGAGTGGCTCAGTCAGTTAAGTGTCTGACTTCAGTTCAGGTCATGATCTCATGGTTCATGAGTTCGAGCCCCATGTCAGGCTCTGTGCTGGTAGCTCAGAGCCTGAAGCCTGCTTCCAATTCTGTGACTCCCTCTCTCTCTGCCCTTTCCCTGCTCATGTGCTCTTTCTCTCTCAAAAATAAATAAACATTAAAAAAAATTTTAAAAGGCTGACACTAATATAATTTACCTGAGTCACAAATGTTAGAGTAAGATACATCAGCAATGTATTTAAAAGTATTCTCCTGTACATATGCATATGGCTTAATAATATTTAGACATTCTTATGTAATTTCCATACTGTTCCACCAGTGAAGACTTAAAGTCATCCTCCATAGCCACTAAAACATACAGGAAATAATTGGTAAAGCGTATTGCTTTACTTAGTGCACAAACACATATACACAGAGATGGACATTCAGTGAAGTCTCTAACAGGGCAGATAATTAACAAGTTAAGGAATTATTGTTTTGATTAGGTTCAATTTATTATTTTTTTAAAAATATTTTTAATGTTTTATTTATTTCTGAGAGAGAGAGAGACAGTATGAGCAAAGGAGGGTCAGAGAGAGAAGGAGACAGAATCTGAAACAGGCTCCAGGCTCTGAGCTGTCAGCACAGAACCCGATGCAGGGCTCAAACCTACAAACCATGAGATCATGACTTGAGCTGAAGTTAGATGCTTAACCAGCTGAGCCACCCAGATGCCCCTTAACCAGTAGCTTTTATTTTTATTTATTTTTTTAATTTTTTTTTCCTTAGTTTATTGTCAAGTTGGTTTACATATAACAACCAGTGCTCATCCCAACAAGTGCCCTCCCCCATGCCCATCACTGCCCTTCCCTTCTCCCCCACCCCCATCAGTCCTCGGTTTGTTCTCAGCATTCACGAGTCTCTTAGCAGTAGCTTTTAAATTGAACCTAATCAGGGGAAATTTGGTGGTTCAGTTGGTTAAGCGGTTAAGCATCTGGCTTCAGCTCAGGTCATGATCTCACTGTTCGTGGGTTCGAGCCCCACGTCGGGCTCTGTGCTGACAGCTCAGAGCTTGGAGCCTGTTTCAGATTTTGTGTCTCCCTCTCTCTCTGACTCTCCCCTGCTTATGCTGTCTCTCTCTCTCTCTCTCTTAAATAAATAAAACATTAAAAAATTTTTTTAAAAAGTTACTGGTTAAAACTTGAGTGAAAATGACTGACATCTTGGTACATCTGTCCATAGACATTTTGAAATCCAAACACGTTTTTTCTTTGCTAATGACTGGTAATGCTTTTCATCATCTTTTCAAAGGAATTAGTCTTTCTAATTTCTGTGAATGTGTTTTATTCAAGGAATTATAAAAATCTTCTTTCCAAAGCAATATTAGTAGATGTGTAATGTGCTTCAATGGGACATATATCATACTATCTAATAAATACATAATTTATTTACATTTATATGCTAAATATATCATATAAATCTAATAGGCTTACAAGAACCATTAAAGGCTCTTATTTTCTTAAAAAGAATACTATCCTTTTTCTACTTTTTGGCTTTTAATGTTACCTAATTCCTGGGTAACACAAATGCTGGTACATCTACCCCCTTTTAAATTTCTGAACTCTGCACTACAACCATGATGGACTTCAGCAGGAGCTCACAGCTCTCCATCCTGCATTCACTCTCACCACTCACTGAGTCACCATAGTGGGGCGCCTGGGTGGCTCAGTTGGTTAAGTATCCGACTTCAGCTCAGGTCATGATCTCATGGTTTGTGAGTTCAAGCCCCGTATCGCGCTCTGTGTTGATGGCTCGGGGCCTAGAGACTGCTTTGGATTCTGTGTCTGATTTTCTCTCTGCCCCTCCCCTGCTCATGCTCTGTTTCTCTCTCTCAAAAATAAATAAACAGTAAAAAATATTTGACTACCATTTGTGAAGCAGTGGCTCAACTGAAAGGCTATAAGAAAACAGGATGGCAAATGCCAGTGACAGTATTATTATTATTATTATTATTATTAATATTCTCAAGCAATTTCACTCATTGCAGTGAATACTACCCTCAAGATCTCACCTCAGCAGAGTAGATGATGCCAGTGATCCAGTCTGGAGAATTTTAACTTTAATAATTTAGCTGGGTGCTAACTTTTTCTCTGCTATAAATTTATGGGTGTTGATGTTAGGCATGGGACTAAAGTAGGGAAGGATGGGGTAGGAGGGAGAGGCTATGATGGGAAATTGCCTCTTGGATAATTAAAAGTTGATTATTTATAATCTGCACTTGCTCTATTAAATGGTGTAACTGTGTTAAAGTACCAACAGTGGTCATGTGCTGATATAGTATCACCATTTGCATCCAATTATATGTAAAGGGCAGCCTAGCAAAGAAAAGAAAAATTGACCCTGTTGCTAAAAAGATTTTGAGGCAGCTAATTGGAACAGTCAAGTCACACTAAATATTAGTTTTAAAATAGGACTTAAGCATGAGAACTTTTCCTGTTTACTAATTAAAACAAAATCAAGATAAAGTGAAAGCATAAAATAACAGAGGAAAATGTTAGCATTATTAAAGTTGAATGACACATATACCAAAGGAAAAAAGGGCAAAATACTGTTTATATTATGTAGTTTATTTAAATGAGTTAAATTAGTATTGGCTTGGCTATCCAAGTCAATAATCATTCATGTTAAAGAAATACTGTTTTATTCTCAAGACTTAAGTTGTCCATTCATCTACTGGTATGCCTATTGACAGTCTAAAGAGGTGGCCATCAAGGGGGTCTAATGGATAGAGATAATGTGTTTGGGAATAACTCAAATGTTCCATTAAAATGTGTCTTAAAACTTCCATTTGTTATTTGGCTAACATATATTCACTGATTGATTTATTCACTAATATTTTTCGAGCACCTATTCTGTGCCAGGCACAGTGATAAGCATTTGGAATACATCAGTAAATTAACCAGAAACATTTTCTGTCCTCGGAGAGCTTACATTTTAGAGGGAAGGGAGAGAAAGAGATACAAAATAAATAAACACAGTAAAATTATGTGGTAAATTGTATGGTGATAAGTACTCCAGGAGAGAAAAAAAATGACAGCAGAGTAAGAGGAATTGAGAGTGCTAAGTGAGGGTAAAGAGATAAAAGCAGGTTTCAGTACTAAATACAGTTATAGGGTGGTTGATCCAACTCAGGAAAGATGGTATTCACAAGAGAATGAAATTGGGAATAGATAACAAAACATATGGGAGGCTCACAAGAATGTGGAAACTAAACACACTCGTTTTTAAATTTTTTTTTCATGTTTATTTGTTTATTTGTGAGCTGTCAGTGCAGAGCCTCATGTGAAGTTAGAACTCACAAACCACGAGATCATGACCTGACCCGAAATGAAGAGTCAGATGCTTAACTGACTAAGCCACCCAGGAGTCCCCTAAACACACTCTTAAATAACCAGTGGATCAAAGAAGAAATCAGAAGGTAAACTGGAAAACACTTTCAAATTAATGAAAATGAAAAAACAACAACCCAAAACTTATGGAACCCAGCTAAGGCAAGGCATAAAGGGACATGTACAGTTGTAAGTGCCTATTTTAGAAAATAAGGAACATCTTGCCACCTTTTAAAACCAGAAAAAGAAGAGCTAACTAAACCCAAAGCAAACAGAAGGAAGGAAATAATAAAGAGTAGAGTCTTTATATATAAAGAAGGAAATAATAAAGACTAAAAAAAAAACAATAGAGAAAATCAAGAAAACCAAAGATTGCTTCATTGAAAAGGTCAACAAAATTGACTAAACTTTATTTTTTCTAATTTTTTAAATATTTATTTATTTTTGATAGAGGGATACACAGAGTGTGAATGGGAAAGGGGTAGAGAGAGAGGGAGAGAATCTGAAGCAGGTTCCAGGCTCTGGGCTGTCAGCACAGAGCCCAATGTGGGGCTCAAACTCATGAACCGCAAGATCATGTCCTGAGCTGAAGTTGGATGCTTTACCGACTGAGCCACGTAGGTGTCCCCAAATTGACTAACTTTTAAAGCTAGACTGAGGAAAAAAAAAAAGGAAAGGAAAGAAAAAGACTCAAGTTACTAAAATAGGGAATCAAAGAAGGAAGATCAGTATGACTTTACAAAATACAATACAAAAGGGAGTATTATGGACAATTGCATACCAATAAGTGAAATAAACTAGATGAAACAGACAAATTGCTAGAAAGGCATAAACTACTGAAATTAACTCAAGGAGAAATAGTAAATCAGAATAAATCTATATGCAAAGAAATTGAATTAGTAATCAAACTATTATGCACATAGAAAATTCCAGGCTCAGAGGGCCTCATTGGTGAATTCTACCAAATATTTAAAGAATAATCAATACCAATTTTTCACAAACTCTTCCAAAAATTAGTAGAAAACACTTCCCAAATCATTCTATGAAGCCAGTATTATTTTGACATTAAACCAGATAAAGACATCATAAGAAAACTACACCAATATCTCTTATGAATATAGACATGAAAAGCCTCAACAAAATATTAACAAAGTGCATCCACAAAATTAAAAAAATGGATTATTTTGGACTTCACCAAAATTAAAAACTTGTACTTCAATAAAAGACAACCCATTTGAAAATGGGCAAAGAATCTGAATAGACATTTCCGCAGAGAAGATATACAAATGACCTATAAGCACATGAAAAGATGTTCAACATCATTAGCTAACAAGGAAATGCAAATTAAATCCACAGTGAGATACCACTTTATACCTGCTAAGATGACTATAAACAAGCAGAAGGACATCAACAAGTGATGGTGAGAAAGCGGATTTATTGAAACCTTTACACATTGCCGGTAGGAATGTAAAATCAGGCAGCTACTTTGGAAAATTCCATGCCATCTCCTCCATAAGTTAAATACAGAGTTACCATGTGACCCAGCAATTCCACTTCTAGGTCTAGAGACAAAAGAATTGAAAACCTGTACACAAATGTTCATAGTAGCATTATTCATAATTGACAAAAGGTGGGAGTAACATGTTCAGCAACTGATGAATGGATAAAGAAAATACGATAAAAGCATACAATGTAATATTATTTGTCCACAAAAAGGAACAAAGTAGTAATATATGCTGCAAGATGGATGAACCTTGAAAACATTACACTAAGTGAAAGCAGCTGGACACAAAGGGCACACATGGTATAATTCCATTTATATGAACTCTCCGGAATAGGTAAATCCATAGAGACAGAAAGTAGATTAATGGTTGCTAACAGAGAGGGAAAGGGAAGTATGGAGAGTGACTTCTAGTGAGTATCGAGTTAGTGTTTCTGGTTGCACTACTCTGTGAATATAATAAAGACCAATGAATGACTGAAATAGGAAAATAATAGAATACAGAATTAAGAGTATAGCTAGTGCTCAAAGGAAACAGTCAATAAAATAGGCAACTGACAGAATGGGAAAAGATACTTGCAAATGACATATCAGATAAAGGGCTAGTATCCAAAATCTATAAGGAACTCACCACACTCCACACCCGAAAAACAAATAATCCAGTGAAGAAATGGGCAGAAGACATGAACAGACACTTCTTCAAAGAAGACATCCAGATGGCCAACAGACACATGAAACGATGCTCAGTGTCCCTCATCATCAGGGAAATACAAATCAAAACCACACTGAGATACCACCTCACGCCGGTCAGAGTGGCTAAAATGAACAAATCAGAGGACTCTAGATGCTGGCAAGGATGTAGAGAAACGGGCACCCTCCTATACTGTTGGTGGGAATGTAAACTGGTGCAGCCCCTCTGGAAAACAGTATGGACGTTCCTCAAAAAAAATAACAATAGAACTCCCATATGACCCAGCAATAGCACTGCTAGGAATTTACCCAAGGGATACAGGGGTGTTGATGCACAGGGGCACATGTACCCCAATGTTCATA